AGGTACATCCCTGGCTAAGACTGTCCCCCTCCCTCTCTGCCACCAAGAAGTGTTCCCATTCTGTTGATTTATGAGGAAGAGAAAACCTGTTGGCTGAACTGTCCTCAGCATTAGTAGGAGAAACGCAGTATCTGTGGTGAACAGAGCATGGAATATGCTGTRCATTGGCCTATTTAATGTTATGCTTTCCACTGTCACCAAAGGCTTGAACACCTTGGTTCGTTATTCAAATTATTATTTGGATTTGATCCTATGTAGGCTACAGGGAAAAAAATAAATAAAAGAAGAAAGATAATATGGATGGAGACTGAGGGACGAAGTTCTTAACTGTAACAACCACAAACAGGGAACATGCATGAACTGTTACTTTATACAGCAGGAAGTTGAGGATCAAAAGAGTTTTTCCTGAGGATAACACTAAGCAGGAGGGGTACTATTTCAAACCTTTACAACGAAGTTGTAAACAGAGCTTCCTGAAGTGTTTTTAGAAACATTTTTTTTTTTGCACTGACAAGAAAAGAAGCGAGAAGGCTGAAAAAAAAAAAAAAAAAAAAAAAGCCGCTTGCTAAATTATTTCCACTGATTTCAAAAGGAAGGGAATCAATACATATATATCATTACAAATATATAATACATACAAATATATAATATCATTACAAATTGATCTCTTGTGCAGTCCAGGCACCCTTGCACAGTGGGAACAGGCCACCACGGCACCCGCGGGGCTGAAGGGAGGGGCGCTCAGGTCCTACAAGCAGCTCAGCAGGACCCCCAGGCAGCAGCTCTCCACGGGCACCGGTGGCTGAAGCCCCCACGAGGCCAGTGCCACCCGCCTGGCTTCGCTTCCTCCGCGCCAGAGGAGGCTGGACAAGCCACTCACTTTCTCAAGACCCTGAGATGACCCTGACGCGCAGAAGATGAGGACAAAGGCACATACCCATCACAACAGAAGAGAATCCCCCCAAGACAGCATTTCAAGAAGAATAAAAAAAACTACAGAAACTTTTTTTTTAATATATATTTCATATTTTCTTCTTAGATAGCCCTATTTTCTGTTTGGCTGCCCAAATAATTCCATTAAAAGCACATCTATGTTTTGAGACAACTAGATGCCTATTTAGCCTTTACTGGCACTGRTGATACAATTAAGTATTAGGAAAAGAATAAAAATATCAGCAAACCTCTCATGATCCTCAGTTTTCCTTTTTGCCACAGGAAACTCACAGAAACAGTTATGATCCTGATCATTGAAACAAGGGAAACAACTGCATGTCAAGTTAACGAGAATTAGTGAAGAGAAAAGATCACCTATAATTTGGGACCTGTAGCAGATGTTTGGGAAAACCACAGACTTTTAATTGTTCAGTGAGCCCAAGAGACCAATTTTCTTGAAACACATCCACACCTTTTCTTTCAGATTGCGACTAAGCAAATCTTCCATAACTTAAAATGACAGGCACAGTTAGTTTCAAAAAGGATGAAAGTGGAAAGAAAAAAAATATATTTTTTCTGTTTGTTATAGGAAACAAAGACACCTTCAGTTTAAAGCCTGCTAGTTCTGACTATTAGAGCCATTTTCAGATATACTCATTTCAAACTTGAGTAGTTCTATATGGAAGGGACATATGCTCAGAGTTATGACATTTTCACATCATACATGCTCAACATAATAAGCAAAAYATTAGCTCAGCCAACACACAGTCAAACTGCAATGGAATCCTTTGGCCCGTGAGCTGCCTTGAAGAGAGTCTTCCCTGRGCTAACCTGCAGCAGCTGCTGCACGGGGGCTCGGGCTGCAGACGCCCTCAGAGGCGCTGCTGGGGGGTCGCTCCCCAACGTGCTGGGAGGCTCCGCACATGCGAGTCTGCAGCTCTGCTGTGCCATGGAAATGAGGTCTAGGGAATTAAGCTTGGAATGGCAATAAGCTCACATTCTTGGTCAGCACCTTAAGAGACTGAGTAGTCATGTGGGCTATGTAGAGCCCAAAGCAGCTGCTATAATGAATTTCACTGCTCTGCAGCAAGAGTGATAAATGATTTCACTAGTTTATGCCTCACCCTATTCCAAGGTCACCAGATTCCTCTCAGGGAAAATAAGCTCAAGATTGTTGTCACAACCATAAAGTGAGCTCAGCAATAAAGTACTCTGCCACTTTTTACTGTACTACGGCTGTGCTCGGTACTAACCCTTGAATAGTCATCTTGAATCATATACATGCAGTGCAACCTGCAACAGTCCATATGACAGCGCAGTTCAGCGGGTGAAGCTGCAACAGCCACCTTAACCCCCACATCTGCAGCATGAACAGTCCTGAAGATGAGGTTTGCACAGCTATTTCAAAATCTAAACATAAAAATAATCAAACATCATAGGAGTTTTGGAAGTGTCCAGAGCACTGAAGCTACTTCTGAAACTGCTACTTTCTTTTATCAAGTAGTGTTTGCAGGGGATGCTAGCTGGTTATCTGGTTATTGAGGTACAATGCAAAATACCCAGCGATTACYGGAGGAAGAGAGGGGACAATTCTGGGGATAGTTAGAAGTTGGCATAAATAACTTTAATGACTTTGAAATAAAAATCTCTGATTATCTTTCTTTCAAGACTATGCAAGTTTCTTACTAGCCTATCTCACTTACGCTTTACTTCAATTGTTTTTCATTTACCCTATCATACAGGTCAGACTGGGCATGAACAGGAGGTAAAAGCAGCAATCTTCACCAAATCCCTTTACCAATGACAAAACTTACAGTATCACAAAAGTCTGGTCACCCAACCCATAATAAACTTTATTTATACTTTAATCTTACATTCCTGCTTAGCTGGAATAAGCTGTTGAAAATGTATTGTGGAAATCAATTGGCAGTAGCTGAATGGAAAGAAATGAATTATATGATGAAGTAAATCTTTTCTATCTCTATCGCATGCCATTCCATTCTGTTTAATAGTTAGTAAGAAGATTGTCCCTTGACTGCTGAACTCCCAACCCACTGCTGTCTAGTGCTACAAATTGGGAACGCATTTTAGGGTACGCAAATTACTATTATTTTCAGCAGATAAAGTTTAGCACCAAACATGACAAATTAAAGCAGTATCGTATCGAGAGCTACTTTGGGCTCCCTGCAGTATGTATTCTTGCTGAAACTGCTTCCCAAAAGTCATTTCTTTGCAGAAATGTAACTCAGAACATGATCAATTTAATCTCAAAGTCCCTCTATGGAGTCGTCTTCCATTCAAATTTTCATGTTCCTTCAGCGTTTACATCACAAAGATGGAGTGCCTGGCACCAGATATGTGGGAGTCTATTGACTCATGCTACCAGATGCTTTTGTTCCTTGGTGTAACCCCAGGTTTGCCAAGTTCAGACAAAATTTGCAGAATAGCCTTCTCTATCCCTTACTGGAGGTGAAATAGCATCTGTCCTAAACTAGACACACTTTTATTTAGCATATTGTTTTGAAATACACCCTCATAGTTCATAGAGAAAATTGCTGAAAACGACAAGCCATCCAGCCATCCAGAAGTGGATGAGGTGAGCAGCACTTGAGGAAAGAAGTAATACTGTCGAAATATAAATACGAAGCGTTCAAGCTGCTCATCAACAAGAGGTGCTACTGAAACTCCATTTCAAGGCTAATCACACATAAAAACATAGTTAGATATGAAAAAAATATTCAAGACTCTGTCTTTTTTTTAATAATGAAATAAACAATAACTGGATTTTTTTTTATCCCGCTTTCATTTTAATTTTAAGAAGTATAGAAATTACATGGAGAAAGTAGAGTGAAAAAAGTAACCACAGATTTTAATAGAGGTGAAAAAGTTAGGTCAGATAAGCAAATGTTTTTCTGGATCCAGTGTTTTGTCAAGGCTAACTTACAAGAATCACATGCAAATTTCATTTATTCAGAGGACACTGTTCATCTCCCATCTTCAGGACAAGGAAGAGAAGTTGACTGTATACAGCTTTCATAATCATAACATTTGCATAACCATTGATGATTTTAGATGTTTTGTATACTGTGCACTGAAACAGAAATATATCTGCCAAACACAGAACAGTTGTAGCTGATGTGCCATCAGTTACTCAAGAGTTGTAATCTTACCTTGATTTAATGTAAACTTACCTCTTTTTAGACATTGTAGGAGTTCACATATAGGAGATACTGTTTCCAAACTGGTTGATGGAAATGAAAAGCATGTACTATGACATCATATAGTTTATCATCACATAAATTTCGATAATCAGGATAGAGATTATCTTTTTGTATAAATTTTGAAACTGAATTAGGGTAGCAACCATTCCTATAATATCTATGTCTTCAACTGATATTGAAGATAGTTCAGGCTCAAAGACATGAAAAAAACTTTATTTGAGAAAATGCTACTTTGCTGAAAACTGTCTTCTTTCATCCAAGTGATCCTTATCCTGTTTAGAATTAATAAAACTATGAAAGGCAACTCTTATCTCTTTAATAATAATTTCCTTGCAATATATTCTTCATTATAAGGAGAAATTATATATAGCAGAGCAGATGAAAGTGAATRTCTACAGATTAGACTTAAAATATATTACAAATGCCTTTCTCTATGTCAGCATACTCTTTATTGAAAAGGCTTTTATCACTTCCACTGTGCTGATAAAGTAGTTTTCTTAAAAGATATTTGGAAAATTTTAAGGAAACTATATGCAATGTCATTTCTCTAGGCTCTCCTATGCCAATGGATGTAAACCTTTACTTACTGTATCAAATGACTCCATTAAAAATCTGTATTAATTGACTCAACTCATTTAACTAACCTTCTGTGGTTCCCAGTATGTCACAAGTGTTATGAGCTGGACCACAACTGTAACAGACTTTTGATTTTACAAAACCATGACACTAGTATTTAGAATTTCTTTGAAACTGTTCATCTACAGTAGGGTTATTCCCTGCAATTTCTGCTGGGATAAAGAGAGACCAGGTACAGATGGGTCACAGACAACAGTAAAACACAAGTACCTGGTCCAGTTTCCAGTGGAACTCTGCAGGACGGAAGGTGTCTGCCTGGTCAAAATCCTTCCTCAGCAGAAACACCAAGCGGCAGTTGTGCACGTACAGCGCGTAGTGATGTCGGTTCATCTCTAAAGACAGGGGAACAGCAAGATCAGTGCATGAAACTACCACCAATACTTGTGTTTAGTGTTTCAAAGCAATATATACCTGAAAGAGACAGACACACACACAGACAGAATTAAGATCTCCCCAACCTAAATCATAAAAAAAAAAAAAAAAAAAAGATTTATTTTGTCAACTAATTCCTTCAAAAGCCATAGATGCAATGTCAGAAATTATCTATGAAGAGATCGAGTGCTTGGAACTTAGGTAGACAAAAGTCCCGTCAAAAAGCTATGAGTCAGCAACACCCAGAGAGGCAGCCTCTCTGCCTTGCAACCTTATTTCAAAGTGTATTAATTGAAGAAAGAAATGCTAACACTCTATCAAAATGCAGCATAGACTCACCTGTCTTATCAGAGTTGCATAGAATAGTCTCTTTCTCAGCTCTTAATCCTGGGCTAGGTCCATGTTTCATCCACATGGTGATGGTGAACTGATCAGTTAAGTTCTTTGGAACTATTCCATCTGGAATTTTGGCTCCTTGCTTTCCATCAAATTTAAAAATCATGTCGTTGCTGTCCATGAGTAGCCCAGCTGTCCAGTTCATTGTTGCACTAGGAGACGGTAACAGGTCAATGGCACCTGAGGAGGCTCCTGTAAATGACATTACATCCTGTAATGAATAAAATGAGAGACTAAAAAATGCAAATGAATTTAGTGGAAATGAATTTATTACAGGCCTTCCTATTAATGAATTTTTTATTATGCAAGTAGTCCTACTAGATACAATACCAAATTAAGAGTAAAGACTCTGTAAATAAAACATTTTCACTTTCCTTCCAGTCAGGTAAAGAACTGCTTAAGACTAAAACCAAATCCTGTTCCTCCAGCTGAGAATATCCCTTCCTCATCAGCCTGGAGATACACTGTGCATGCAGACARTGTCTTGCAGAATACTGTAGAGCAGACATAAATGTAGGACAAGAGTCCTACAGTCAGTCTCAGATATTCGCAAGAATGTTTGTATGAATGTTTCCTCACATGTAAATAGTATTCCTTTACATACATCGCTTTAATGCTGGTTTGTGACAGGTACACAATGGTTGTAACTCAAGGTGTCCTTGTCTAAAGATAGAAGACTTTTAAGAGATATTCACAACTCAAATTAGCCTTTCTCTAAAGAGGGAATCATTAACAAAGTTGTTCCTAGCCACAGCACACACATTTGTTAGAATTAACATGAAACAAAAACAGAAAAGAAAAACAGCATGGAGTCTAGATTCGAGAAGAGAGTACAATTCTTTAGAATGCCGTGTTTAAGGGAGATCTGTATTTTCCTGCAGCTTAACAGTTGTCAGGCGTTTTTTAATAAGAGCTACGTAGTTAGAGTCATTACATAGCCAGTGAAAGGTAGCATTTAGCAGCAAGTATGCTTGACAGAGTAAAAAAGTAAAAATAAATTTTGTTTATTCTTGATCATATTGTGAAAGGCAAGAACATGGTGCACAAGCTCAAACTGAATTAGAAAAGACCCAAGCTGGTAACATGTTGCAGCCTCCTGCAGTGTCCAGCTAGACAAAAAGGGCCCCAGACCTCTGCAGGAGTGGTCAGTGTTACGCTAATGAACTGTGGGACATCTTTTCCATGTGTTATACTACAGTAATAATATTAAAACATTCATATCATTAACAGAATTTCTTGCACAGTTCCCTAAACTTGTGGGKTTTTTTTAAATGAGGTTGTTTTCAAGTGACAGCAATATCAAATAACTGTGTGTCAGAGAATCAGTCAGTCATTCTTAACTGATCTTTTTAGTGAAATTTGTTTTTCAGATTCAAAATTGTGTCTTTACAATTTTTGTATATTTTTACTACTGCTGGATGATAAAGTGAAAAAATACTTACTAAAATGCTTTGAGGAACAAGACTAATAACTCATTGATTTTAAAATGATTCAAGAAATATAACTGCATCATTTAGGCTGAAGACCTCTTTCCTGTCAAAGTTATATGGCCTACCTCCACTGTCAAAGCAGATACACATCCTTAAATTACTGAAAGGTAAAGTTAAATCATCAAATAAAAAATAAACTTTAAAGCATGTGAATTTTCTAGATTTCCAACTGGTAAATTAAGAAATGTGCATGTAATGAACTGCATCCTTAATTCAAGAGAGAATCCTGCAATTCAGCCTGTGACTGCTCAATTCCACACTCCACAATCACACCGGGCTTCACTCATAACAAAAGAACAGGATTTTCTTCCTTGGAAATAATTTATTCATCCAACCATTACAATACAATAAGGCCACTACTGGGAGAAAACTGCTTTCCTGAAATAACTTAACTCGCTTTCCTAAGGGCTCTCTCTAAAGCAAGGATAGCAGTAAATACTAAACACCACAGTGTAAACCTGTGCAGACACTTCTAAGCATACAGCTCAATGTCATTTACGACCTCTGTACCAAGTCCTTCTACCAATTTCTACTCTGATTTACATATACACTCTTCACTCTGTTTTCTCAAGTGTTTTATATTCCATTCTTCATGGATGTGCTGAGCAAAAAGTGACAGCTCAGCAATATTGTCAGACACTACCATCTGCCCAAGTAGTCTGCAACTAGCACAGTGGCACCGTCAGACCTGTTTTCTAGGACGCCTGTCGGATGGATGGAAATATAGGAGTAAAATTAGTTTTTTTTTCTTTTTTTTTCTGATGGTCTTAACTATGCAGTTTGTGGGTTGAAAATACAAAGATTTTAGGAGAGCTCAGCTATACTCCCTTACCTTTACCTTACTTACCTCTCCCCAGTCTCTGCAGATTAATTGGTATATATTTACAGAATCTTAACTGAATCTTAATTTTTCCCCAGGAACTAGCCTTCCATTTTCTCCTTAAAGGGCAGTGTACTGGTATTAACACCTCTGCAGCCATGTTGTGTGGTTACCAAAGCAATTGTAAGCCAAAAAAAACAAAGCACAACAAACCAAAAGCCTTGAATTTAAATGGGAAAAAAAAGCATTGCCTTTTTATAGCATGGAGCCCAATTGCCATTTCAGCTTAAACAGGAGCCTGGGGTAGAGACATATTGGAGAAGTTGGGAAATTACACCACCAGCATTTCAAATGAGGACTTTAATAAGACAAGATTTTGGAGGAGGAAGAGAGAAGGCAGATCTCAAAAGGCAAGAGACACATGGCTTAACCTGTGGTCRTGTTTTTACAACAAGCATACATAAAGTCTCAAAAACACAGCAGCATCCTAAGGTATTTAATTTCTCTGTCAAAATGAATTTGTTATCTTTGAAACCAAGTTTCAAAGTGAGAAAAGGGAAGAAAATGATCTGGAAACCTTTCTCCTCTGGAATATTGCTTTTTTGAAATTCAAATATTTCTCTAATGTCTTTGCTCAAATGACTGTCACAAATGTTCCTTTATTTTTTGCTTGTTTCAACTCTGGCACAGTACTTATCAGGAGAACAGAAAGCAGAGTCAGGAATGCTGAAACAGATGATAAAGATTCATCAAATATTATGGTCTCCCTAATATGCTGGTGTTATTTTGTACAGCATCCAGGGCAAGATGCCAATCTATATCTCAGTATGTTGCCAGAAAAATTAGTAGTAAGAGAGGGAAGAAAGAGCAAGAAAGTGGTGGGATCAAGAAAAATAGTAAAAATGGAAAGGAAGAAGACAAAAAAACCAAAGGTAAGTAGAAGGAATGACAAGTGAAAACAARTGGAAAACAAGCATAGAGCTTATCAAAAGCTCTATGTCAAAAACCACTACTCCATTTATTTTTATAGCTACAACGCACTATCATCTGGCCATACAAAATCCATGTACTGAAAAAYATAATTATTGGAACAACTGGAAGTCATACCACAGAGCTTCTGCAGAGATTTTTCAGAGTACGTCTCACGGTCACAGCCCTTCCTAATGTGACTGGTCTGCAGTTCGATGGTGGCACGTATGGAGGAAACTGGCCCGTCGCATGTCTCCAGATGAATGCTGGGAAACAAAGGGATGCTGCCGGAACCAGGCCTGTACTCGATGCGTTTGCTCCAGTCTGGGAAAAAATACAAACAACAAGATCCAAGAGTGATTATAAAGGGAAAGGGAGTTACGCAATCTCAAATGGCATAGTTGTTTTCCAAGTGCCTGCCCAAGACAAAAATCCAAATTTTTAAACTTCATGTTAGATAGTTGCTGCTCTAAAAATAAACTCTTTGTAAAGAACTTCAGGTAAGTAATAAGACCACTATTAGAGTTGCACAAGCCCTGCATTTGGTTCCTGGCAAGAACTGCTGAGCAGTGTCAGCCAATGTCCCTAATATCGCTGTCCTGGTGGCTGTCTCCCAGCTTGCTCTACTGAGATGAGGCTGTCAGCTGCCCTGATTTCAGTCTCATTTCAACATTTTGTGATACATAAAATAGAGCACAAAATAGCTCTATGGACTAGGCTATATGCATCAGTCTCACTGGACTATGATTTAAAACTTTTTAACACCATATGAAAAGCCTGTAGATCCACCTCTTGTCATCAAATATTTTCTGTATTTTTGAGATGAACTGAAAAACGGCAGGTAGAGCTAAAAGGACTACCACGCTCCCAGCCAGACCTGGCTAATGTGGGATCTGCTCATGCAGATGTCTCACAACCCAGAATATTTAAGCAATCACCTGCCTCAGGGAGCCACCTGTCCATGGCATACACAGTGCTAAGCTTCTCAATTGATGTCTCTAAATCCAATTAAATATGGTGCTTACAAAAATGCAGACATTCAGCATTAATCAAAAGCATGTGTATTTTAACTACCTTTTCTTTTCATACTGTAGCCACCCAAGCAAAATTGAGAGACAACTAACTGCAAAACACCAGTAAGAATGTCACATCAATAGAGATTCAAATATTTAATTACTGTGAAGGCACAAACCTATTCTACTTTGCTTGTTTACTGTATATATCACTGTATCTGTAAAATATCTCAGAAAAGTGCTCTTGCCAATGTAGCTCAGTAGCAGTGAGTAGCTGACTACTCATAGTCCTAGCTAAGAAGTACTTCGTAAGTATAAGATTTCTTTAAGTTCAGATAATCAATCGGCTCCTTTAAAGCAAATTTTCTACACAGAAAATTTACAATTTTCTAATATCAGAAGACAGTAATTTTAAAAAAGATATTCGGTAGATGAAAGTGTTTAATATTTTTCAATGCACCTCATTTTTGAGAAGTATGAGGAAATATACTCTCTGAAAATCACAATCTTAAACTGGATTAGAAATTCATTGGAAAATCTGAAAGTCCTTGCAAAGAGTGTGAAATGTTAGAGAAGTCCAGAAGCCCAGGATGCCACCCTCACTGTASGGAATTTTAAAATTTGTGCTTTTAAGTTTCCCTGAGACCTTTGAATCCAAATGGCAATCATGTATCTTCCTATTATAACGCTGAAGCTGGCACACAGGGATACAGATTGTTCCCTGAAGTACTACATCTTTTTTTCAAAACTAAAATCTTTAGTTCATCATTGTCAAAATGACTAGAAGACATGTCTCCTTAAAAGCCTGCTCATACAACAGCTCAGTTGCTATTTTAGTAGTAATTTTCATGTAATGATATTCACCCTGTTCATTCCATATAAAGATAGATGTAATCTGCAGTACTACATATATTTTTCTCTGATATTCACCAACTCCCTTAGAATTTCAAGTGTCATTTGAGGTACATCATTACCAAAACAGATTTTTGTTTACTAACTTGAGCTTAAAACTTTTCCAAGCAAACAAGAGCAGTAAATTTCAAACATTCAGATAAAAATATGATCACTTGCTGTTTATATATACACACTAATAGAATATGAATTAGTCCTTCTTCTAGCCTCTCACTGACTAGTTAAAACAGGATACTGCTGTACCCAAAAAGAAAGATAAAGACTCCCACATGTATCTGAAATATTTCTGACCATTTCAGCAGCTTTTAGTTTAGAAAATCTTTCTGGTTTCTCAGCAGCTTCAAACTACCTGGCAGTCATGCAAAAATATTCATTAATGGATGTAAGATGTGACTGAATCATTAACTATAGCATAAGTGCCTGCAACCACATGCTCACCTCAAGCTATATGAGAAATGGCTTATGAAAATATGCTCCATAAAATGCCACTACTCCATGAAAGAATAATGGAAGCTTTTTGTAACTGTCACATGAATGTCCTCTGCACCTGCATAGGTGGTCTTTCATTTTACAGTTCTATTTTTCAGCTTGGCAAAACAAGGTGAACTTGTTTTAACTCTGTACGTTAATCAGCTACATTTATCTCAGCTCTCCATTGGTTCAGCTCTCCATTGGTTCAGCTCTCCAGCTTGAACCAATGTTTTTCAGCACTTGGTCCCCTGCAGCATCACAGACCAATCACCATCCTAAATTCCACTGGCATTTCTCCCATTACGTCCAAAGGGCCCTAATTCACATTTTAGGGATCTAAGGATCCTCTCTCCAGGCAAKAAGTGATCTAAGGCAAGGGATACTGCAATACTAACTAAAATATAATCCTGACATAGCAGCATAGACCTTAAAGGTCCTAATAACTCCATTAAAAATCCACTGGCTTATTTATAATAGTATCCGCGCCCCCAGCATTTTAGCATCCCAGAGGTGCTGAAGCTGGGGCCAGTACTCTCTTTTTCTCACAATCAGTAAGGTTAGTACAGCTGAAAAGCGTATAGAATTAGAACAAGTAACAGGACACAGTGCCAGTGGGAAGAGATTATTTCAGGAGAYGAGGCTTTAATTTAGAGCATGGCAAAGCTAATAATTTTTCTTCTCAAATAACATCCTGTACAGGACACATGGAAAAGATCAGCACCTTGCCCGCAGGAACATGGTGGCAGTTTTTCAATTCCTCTAAAACTGACTCAGAGGAAGAGTCTTATATAACTGATAACTGAGCCTACAGAAGCCTATGAATTTCAAAACAGATTTTTTTAAGAATTGGTTTCTAAAATGTGACTCATATCCAGGGTTATGCAAACAGTTAGAAGTCATATAATCCTATCTGAAATAGCAGCTTGCACTTGATCAACTCTACTCAAACATCACGGTTTCTCCTTTGGCACAAACTGATGTGCAACAACTGCAGATTATAGTGCAAATCCAGAAAAATAAACACTATCTCCACAGCRGATGGGGAGGAATAATTACAAGGGAAAAGCCTCAATAAAATTAGCACCATTCAACCTGCAGAGGACAGTGGTGATTTGGATTTTCTCACTCCTTTACTTAGAGCTTGTACTGAAAAGCACTTCCAGAAACCGTGAAACCAGTCCTGAATGGATTATACATACAACATAACAGTATTAGAATGTAAATATCAACATGACATGATTTGGTTCTGATTTTATGAATTATAAAAACTATGTGAACTTGGATCTCAATCTCAAAGAACCTCAAACTGTCCCAAAACTACTCCTCAAAACCATTGTATCAAACTTCAGTAACATTTTGAGTTTTTAAAAATTATTCCCAATGCATTAAACAATAAAAATTCTCCTTTAAATTGATGGATCATGTAAAGGCTTTATGTCATCTTTACTTGTAACAGTTCTGCCTTTTTTTTTTTTTTTGGCCTTTATTTTGATATAGGACTACAAAATAAATGATTACATTTCATTTATTATTTCATTCTCCTATGCTTACTAGATGGCAGGACCTCTAGAAACTATAGATTACATCTTGCTCACAGAATGACTGAATGGGATTTTTCCTTGAAGCAGTATGGCACCCACACGAGCCAGATGTATGACCTGAGCCACAGGCTGGCTGGATCCCTGCACCCGAGTCACTCATGCCRGATGCAAGATGTGCACCATGGCTGCTAAATATAAGAAAAAAAAATATAAAATGCCATTTAAGACCTTGCCTATACAAGGTCTTTGCAGAAAGGTTAGGACATAAGGTTTCCAGAGCAACAGAATTGGTAAATCCTGTTTCCTAAAATATAACGATGTATCTCCTCTGTCTACTCAGGTGCTAAGGGTTCTTCTTTTTTTTTTTTTTCTTTTTTTTTTCTTTTCTTTTTTTTTTAAATACACTTTGCATCTTTGCTTAGTTATTTTTTTTATTAAGCATCATGTCTTGTATTAATTTGAAAATATAAAACAATCTGGAACAAATTAAATTTTACACACAAAACGTCCAACAAAGTCCGAAGTATCTGCATAAGCTTGCCTAAAGTTCATTTATTTTCATTATTTATGGGATTCTATATCTTAGAAGCAGCAGTCAGGCAGCTCTAGATATGACGAATGACACTTGGAAGAGAAGTGCACTGTCCTTAAACACYTGCAATTGCCTTACGTCCAGAATTTACTGGAAAGTGCACGTACTACTGGAACACCATACGTCACAGCTGGCCCAATATATACCTGTTGTACCTGTGTCACCCAGTCTTTATACACTAAAGATCAGTGGTCACAGACTCTTTGTGATACAGAAAACCTCAATAAATAGTTTTATTAGCACTGCGCTTCTGCTAATCAACCATACATGTCCCAAAAATATTCTCCCTTTAGGTGATGCATGCCATTCCATGTATTTATATATGCCTGTATACACTTAATTCTTTCTCTCCACCTTCTCTGGAAGGTTTTTTGGGGGGGAGGGAGGGCATAATTTGGCAGTCTAATTTGTCTAACCTTTATAATGCTAAAGTTAATTTTGAGATATAGTTTTCATTTCAACAAAATTAAGGAACTGAATGAATAAAACAAAAACTTCCTCCAACAATTAAACACCTTGTTCATGTGTAATGACAAAGCCCTGGAAAATTGATCCTGCCACCTTCTGTAATATTTCATTTGGCAACTGCAGCTACAGAACTGGGCCTGTATTTGTGTAATTCAACAGCTGCTTAGACAGTAACAAGAACGACCAGTTTGATCACTGTAAGAAGCGAAGAACTAAGAAGTGGGCCAAATTCATAGACAACATGAGTACACTTTTCCTTATATGTTGAGAAACTACTTTTTTTACTTTAGATTTTACACTTTTGTGACAATTTCCATGTTAATAAAT